ATCTGACGTGACATGTTCGTACAAACCCTTTGTACGAACAAAAGTAAGAGAAATTTAGGATAAAAATACGAACATGTTCTTGCATGAGGCCCATTCTGTCCACAGAAATTATGAACAGCACTGATGACAACCTCTACCATGAAGAGGTCCTACTTCAGCACTGAGTCAGTGTTCCAGTTTGAAACTATCCATTCCTGTAAATAAAACTCATAGTTCTGACAGTGTGGCTGTAAGTCAGATATAAAGCTGTGACAGCCTGCAGCAGGCAGTCACAGTGTGGAAACTCACTGTGCACAGTGGAAGCTTCCAGGGGGAGACTCTTTACGAAGCTCTTCGTACTCTTGATGGACACCCGAGCGCTGCAGACGACCCAGGTGAGCCAGCAGCTCCTGGGGGCGCATGGACTCAGGCCCCGGTGTGTGGATGGATGAGTCTTCCACGGGGATCCCCACCAGCTCATCCACAGGGTCTACTCTGCCGTTCTGACCCGCCAGGAGCTGCTGGTTCCAGCTGTATGCATCCAGGGCCAGCAGACCCCCCAGGTGCTGGGGGAGACAGTCCCTGGGGAGGTGCTGACGCAGGTCGGACATTCTTACCATCTGAACCTGGAGCCAGAGGGAAATACTGTGAAAACCTGGAGCTGTGTTAAAACAAACGGGTTGGAGGAAGCAGCTTTAAATTTAAACTAGAAAATCTTCTTGATGAAAACGCAGCTGAAGAGTTTACTGAAGAAGCAGATAACTAGCTATGAGCCAAAAGGAACAAAAACTACCAGCAAATGCTAGGTAGAAGTAAAAGTAGCAAACGATAAGCAACAGCAGTGGCGCCTGCAGAAAAAATTTTCAGGGGGGCCACAGAAAAACCAGGGGTGGCCCACCAAAACTAATATCTATAACAGAAATTTATGATGTGTTTGTAAAAATGACTAATTGAAAACTATGACAATATAAAGCTATAGATTTGTCAACTTCAGTTTGTAATTTCACAGATAATATCACTGATTTTATGACATTCAGAGACAAAAAACAAGAGTAAGTATTTGTAATGTTGGGGGGACCCACTGGCAGGGGGATACGGGGTCTTCCCCCAGAAAATTTTTAAAGAAGTAAATGCCATTTCCTTCATTCTGGTGTATTTTAACAGGTTGTTAAACAGATTTTTACCTACATAGGAAACACTTAATGTGAGTTTTCTATAAATGAAATAAATTTATTT